CTGAACCGGGAAACCCAATGTATTAGATTTAAGTTAAAACAATTTGCTACTGTGTGTAAAAATCATTGTTTAGTATCAGCAATAAAGGCTTACTATACTATATAAGTTTAAAGGAAGGTTTGAAAGATAACGCTAGGTAGCGGCTTGGCACTGCTTCTGGCATTGCTGACGTCCATGAGTGACGGCATGCTTGTCTGCCTACAAAGGCAATTAAATAAAAGGTACATAATAGCTCTATGAACTCAATTTTTTTTCTACCTATTCTAGTAAACTCGAGGGGTTATTCTAGATTCACCGAACTAGTAGGTGAGCTCACGGGGCTCAAGCCGGGAGTGTTGCTAACACTGGCCCTAGCTAGAGCAGTGCTTCGCAGAATCTACCATTGGATCGGAAACGCGACCCACTGAGAAGATCCAGCGAGAAACTCAGTGGGCTGTCTATGGGTTAATTTACTCGTCGAGCCTTTCGTCGCAAGCGGATTCGGTGAGGAGGGTAACCGGTGCTCGAGGTACCTAAGAGGATCGGGAGGATCCGTAATAAGGTGTTTAGGGCGACGTCGACTGTTTACCATTCGATCCACCGGATCGCGTATGACAACTCCATGAGTTACCGCAGCCATTCTAAATGTTAATTTTATTCAGCGGAACTGAACTTGGAGTAGACAATTTTGTTTTTACGTTTAGATAAATAACAAGTTCGATTATCTATTACTCGTACAATACAACACACCCCTTAAGTTTTATTAAATAAGCATTGCAATTTGAATGATTGTATAATTAAAAATATGAGATGAATTTAAAAACGTGACTTCCTCGTCTTTTTTACATTAAGTACAGCTGTTTTTTTTAAAATTCTTTTTACGTTAGTTAGCATTCAATGTAAGGTGAGTAATTATTTAACAATATAATTGTGTGCAGAGAAAAAAAGGTCAATTGTGTAGTAAGCCTTGAGTTTCAGAATCTACTAAACCTATACAAACTTTTATAATTATGCTTTGGTATTGTTTACGATTTTGAAGATATTTTGTAATGACTGCTTTTACCAATATCTGTCAATTTAATATTTACAATAATTTATATGTAGCACCCCACTGTTTTTTTTTACGATAAAATTACTTTTTTCTTAATTACTTTTAACTTCAACTACTTTACAATTCTTTACTTTTTAATTTAGTTAGTTACCAAAGCGCGTTTTTTATGTTTTAAACTATCACTTATTATTTTACTAACACCATTCGCTATATGTTTTTTCTATTCATTATATACTTCATATATTATGTATACTTCACATCATACATAAACAAGCATTTAAATAAGCTTTTTAATGATATTTAATTCAGAAAACAACTAGTACATTAAATGAGATGTATATTTATGAGATGAAAAAGGGTACAACCTGGTACAACATTTTACAACTCAACATATACGACACGGAAGGACAGGATAGCTATTATACTGAACAATGAAGACTTAATTAATAAGAAGGATTAATGTCGCAAGGTAGGTGGAGGCATTCAGATTATGATGTCTATGACTTAAGACCAGACCGTGAGCTCGTTGACCGAAAATATCATTGCGTTTTTTCTTGATTATGAAACGTCTGATTATACACTAATCTTCTGGCGAGCCGTATGCGAATCTTTCGACTAAGGCAACACCAAAATGTCCGATTTGTGGTCACGTAAAAACATAACATTTACAATGTAGATACAATTGTTGATCTTTCGCAGTATAGGTGAATACGTGCCTAAATACCATAGTTGTCAATTAACTTAAACGTTAAGAGGCTTGAATAGGTTCTGAATCAATCCGAAATGGTTTAATTAAGGGAATGGTGTGCGGTCCCGCAGAGCACAGCTTACAAATGGATTAGTCTGGGACGCGATCGATTATGTTCTAAGTAAGTTGCATGTACTGCATTCAATATACTCTGTTAATAGCCAACCTTTAAAGAGCATTCCTTGATATTTGTTTTATGATTTTTTAATTAATTGAATAATCTTCGTGAAATCGTTTAGATTGAGAAATTCCGAAATTATTAAGAACTAGAGGTCCCGCAGTAGTCGAAATTCGATTATAATTAATTGGAATTGTAAGTTTGTACACTATTATGATTGTATTTTATACTTCTATAATCACAAATTTCGCCAAGACTACACTATAAAAAATATTAACAAAGACAAACAATATTTAATCTATTCTTAATTTGACAACAGACGTCAAGAACAAAAGTTTGACAATAAATAGTATGCATGCGTGTGTGCGTCAAATACATGGTATGTAGTGTGTGTAATGTTTTCTTTATTGATTTAATGTATCTTTTATGCATTATTTAAAAAAAAATATTAGCATTGTGCACTTCCTCTCTATATTCTCTATAAGTGTGGGAAATTTCATACTCCTTCGTCCGCGCAATTTTCGTAAAAAGGGTTACAAAGTTTTTGCTTGACGTATTAATATATATATGTGAATGTCTGATGGATCCATGAATTATAATTAAAATTAGTTTTATTTATTTACAGTTTTGGTGATCGGGGACGTAGGATTTAAGGCGAAACTAAACCGTAAAAATGGTTTTAATTATGTCTACGAATCATAAAAAAACCGAAGAAAATAATATCATAATCATAAAATAATATCGACTATAATCAAATAGTCGTCGGACAAATAACATTTAATACTTTGTGTCTGAGGCTTTTCTCGATGGTTACTCATAATCGTAAGGACATGAATACAATATTATATTATTATGTTTAGTATTAATGAGCATGTTTGAAATGGGAGCTCACCGTATATTGGTTCACTAAGAATTATTATATTTCCGGCTTATTGTAGATATAGTGTTCATAAGGTTTATACATAAAAATATATATTCGGTTCCGTAGTCTTTTTATTTTATTTTTATTGCTTAGATAGGTGTACGAGCTCACAGCCCACCTGGTGTTAAGTAGTTACTGAAGCCCATGGACATCTACAACGTAAATGCGCCAGCCACCTTGAGATATAAGTTCTAAGGTCTCAGTATTGTTACAACGGCTTCCCCACCCTTCAAACCCAAACGCATTACTGCTTCACGGCAGAAATAGGCAGGGCGGTGGTACCTACCCGTGCGGACTCACAAGAGATCCTACCACCAGTAAAACCACCACTCTTTACGTAATGTCCGATCAAAAACCAAACGAACAGATATGAATCATTGTAATATTTTGTTGTCTTTTATGTATTAGTACTGTTTCAGTTTTATTAGATTATTATGTAGTTTAGAAGATTGATTAGAATTCCAATTTATGCCGTGATTACATTTACCGAACAATAATGTCGATTAGAAGCCGTTTAATTGGATATGAAGTTGCTATCACTCACAGTGGTTCACACTTTGAATTTCGCTTATACGCGTAGATCTATTCTGGATTGACTAATTACAGAGTGATTGCAATTATATTCCGGATTAGTGTGGCGTTTGACAATATATCCATACTGATATTATAAATGTGAAAGTGTGTGTGTTTGTTTGTCCTTCTATCACGTTGAAATGAAGCAACGGATTAACATCACTACATAGTATAAAGTAAAGTCGCTTTCTCTGTCTCTATATCTGTCCCTATGTATGCTTAAATCTTTAAAACTACGCAACGGATTTTGATGCGGTTTTTTTAATAAATAGAGTGATTGAAGCTCTATACTCCAGAACGACGGCAACATAGACCGGGACGTCACAAATCGAATAAACGCTGGTTGGATGAAATGGCGACAGGTCTCTGCAACAGCATGCGATCGTAGAATGCCCCTTCAGCTCAAGGGTAAAATTTACAAAACGATCATTAGACCTGTCGTGCTGTATGGATCTGAGTGTTGGGCGACGAAAGTTAAGCATGAAAGAGGAGTGCATGCGGCAGAGATGCGAATGTTGAGATGGATGTGTGGAGTGACAAGAATGGATAAGATAAAGAATGAGTATATCAGAGGAAGTGTGAAAGTGGCCCCGGTAAACAACAAATTAAGGAGCGGACGGTTAGCGTGGTATGGACATGTGATGCGTAGAGAGAAGATGCATGTGACTAGGAGATGTATGGAAATGGTAGTGCAAGGTAGAGGGGGAAGAGGTCGACCGAAGAAGACATGGATGGAGTGTGTGAATGACGATATGAGAGAGAGAGGAGTGAGTGTTGAGATGACGGCTGATAGAAGAGAATGGAAGAGAAAAATTAGCTGTGCCGACCCCACATAGTGGGATAAGGTGGAGAAAAAGAGAAAAAGAGAGAGTGATTGAAGAGGAAGGTTTATATGTATAATAAAATCCATTAAATAGTGGAGAAATCAATAATAAATTACTGTTTCCGAAGCGAAGCGAGGGCGCGTCGCTAGTAACTTCTAAAAGTGATATTGTTCGGTCAGGATGGTGGCATAAGCTACTTTTTGTCCCCAAAAAACGTCTTATTATCACAGGAAACTACACTGACACTTTTCCTTGACCACGTAGAGAAGCCGCGGGTAAGCTAGTAATGAATATTTCTCGATAATATGAAATGACAAGTGGAGCTCACGAATTTATTTTCTTATGCAATTTCTACTATAGACCTAGTTTTGATTGAGCTTACCTTAAATTATTGAAAAAAATACAAACGCATTAAAAGTGAAATCTTCAGAAATGCTCTATCCTACTCTCTCTCGCATGCTTAATTTTATAGACGTCATGATCTGAACATACATATAATAATATATAATATTAGTATAGATGTGTTATAGTGTTTTTTAAAATCGCCAAATTAACTAAGAGGATAGTACAGATTATGAAATTTGTCATAGAAAAAAAAAAGCGAAAGTGAATTCGATCTACCTAAGTCCCTCTTGGTATACATGTCAATTGACATCAGGTGACCAGGTACACTGATAAAAAAAAATAAGAAGGAATTTTTTTTTCTAACAATTCTATTAACATCGAAGGGTCTATTCTCGATTCACCGAACTAGTTAACTAGTTCAGTAGGAAGAACTAGTTCACCTGTTGTGAGCGTGGAAGGACAGTGTCAGCGGCTGCGGGGACGGTGGCGTTGTTGGCTCCGGGGCGTAGCGGCGTCTCCGGTGACAGCTTGGTAGTACCGGCTCGTAGTGCGCTGGTCTCCAGTGACGCACGAAAGGTGTCAGTGACAGCCCTGCAACAAAACGACATGGATTTAATATGAAAGCGCATTCACCAACTTCACCAATGACTCTGTTCTTCTCGAGAGATTAAAATTTAGATTTGTACAATTATTGGTGATTTATATCTATCTATATTTATAACTATACTGAGATCTGTGAGCTGTGAGCTCGTTCATCAATAAAAAAAATTAAAAATAAAAGAAAAATTATACATAATATTGTTTTTGCTTTCCCGTAGCTGTTCTATAAATAACACTCACTATAAAATTTTATATTTTCTTAAATTAAGTAGATCGATTGAGTACGTAAGAAAGGTGGTTCAACAGATAAGTAATGAAGACTTGACTCGTAGGATATTTGGACACTATAGCAGCTCTAGCGGTTACCGAACGGGCGCTGATATTGATAAAGACGTTATAACAGACGACTAGAAACCCATCTTCTATTTGTATATGGTGTGATTCGGAAATTATATAAAAAAAATATTGAATTTGTGTGTAATTCAGTTCAGGCTTCTGTCGATTTTTTCACAATGACGTCATATATACCGCTACAAATTGTCTAAAGAATGCACATTATCTTTGCTCGTTAGCTTATACGGTAAGAAAATGATGAATAGACAGCTAACAAACACCACCGCTACAGTTAGACGCATTTGACTAAGCTGAGAAAGATCCAGAAATTCATAATAGTGTACATTTACATATTATAAAGAGTGTTATTTAGAGCCTACACATACGATACGAGTCATAATAATATTTTATACGTAACGATTTTAATAAAATCGAACTGCACCGAAAACCTCGTAAAATTGAATACGAACAGTTTTATGTTCTTTTATCGAATGTCGGGATTATGTGCCGTAGCACGCAGCGAATTTAAGGTACACACATACATATGAAACACGGTGGGGTTTTCGGAATTAAATAATCGGATTATCACCGCAGGTTTTATTGCGAGTACGATATATTTGACGAAACTGGCCGATAAGCGAATCGAAGGAAACCGAACGTGTGTGTATATGTAAATAAAGCCCATATTCTAGGTAGCCTACTCAGTTCACTTAGGGCACTTAGAATTGCGCTAAGGAAACGGTGCCCCGTGATCTCAATTTTATAATCGCTCCAAACGGTACCCGGGTAGAGTTCATATCTACTGAGATAATTGCCTTTCTACACATCCTAATTGCCACACAACAGACGGCCCTGTAGTGAAGTCTATGCCATACTAGTGCTATGACAGACCCTGCTACCACTGAAGGTTTAAAATTCTGAAGTGGTACGGATCGATTATACCCTTTACGCTCAAGTACATGTGAAACTTTGTTTGGACGAATAAATATTCGTCTAAATCTTACGGCTTGTATCGTTTCATCGAGTTACCACAGTCGACTTCTGTCTCACGATAACCAACAGCAGCATTCAAAAGCTTGTGGAACCAAAGTAGTAAACAAAAAATAATTCTCTATTTCAAATAATACAATATTTGAACTAATGAGAAAACCGAAATAAAACGATAATTTTACCAATGTTGTTGATGTAAAATAAATGTATCATTAAGGATGACTATTGGTTAGATTTAATAAAATTTAAAAGGCTACATAAGTAGCAGCGGCTTTCAAATAAATAAATAAAACAGTAGAATTGATAACATATTTTTGGAAATTGGTCAAAAAAGCATTAATGTTATATGTATAATAATATACCTAATATAACTCATATTTTCATATAATTGAAATGAAATACTATTCTCAAGAAAATCTAACTATTAAACAAAGAATAACGAAAGTAAAAACATAGTCTTTCAGTTATTAAATACACATATTCCTGTAATAGATGTGCTTCATTTTTTGTTCGCTTTTTATGAAAGTTTAACGACATTTTAACAGCAGGTTGTCAACCCCTGCCACGGAGATGTCAGCGACACCAGAATAATATGTGAACTGTTGAGAGTTACCTCAAACCGATATAAAAATTTAATTCATTACTACTTTTAATATTCCTAATATCTAAAGTAACTTTTCATTATAACATTTATTGAGCAAACAATTTTTGATCGAACTAGAGCAAAATTTATCTATATTTTTAATTGAATTACATTAGAAACTTACTCGAAGAAAAAGTTATTCGGACACCTATGGATCCGTAATCCATTCATAGTAATAGTGTCTGTAATTTACTCTCTAATTTTTATCTTAAGCACCGATTGGGTGTGTATATGCCCGCTCTGATAAGTACCACAGTTCAGATTATTTGTAATGCGAAGCAGACGTGCCTTTCGGTTTTAAAGGCAACCATAGCTCAGTGTGTAGCGACAGCTATCATAGAATAGATGATATCTGACAAGAACCTAAATCGCGCTAACGACATTTGAAAAATATGCTTGCTCATATGAATTCCGAACAACATCATTAGTACTGCCCCTTTGGCGCTTCTTGCAAATGCTCCAATCATATTTCTCAAAATAGGCTGAGGGATTTTCCCTGCGAGGTTCATGGTCTCCGGTTACCGCTTAACATAAAACGCGTTCGTGCATCTACCCACAAATAAACGCTAACAACACTTTTTTTTTATTGCTTAAATAGGTAGAGCTCACAGCCCACCTGGTGTTAAGTAGTTACTGGAGCCCATAGACATCCACAACGTAAATGAGCCACCCACCTTGAGATATAAGTTCTAAGGTCACAATATGGTTACAACGGCTGCCCCGCCCTTCAAACCGAAACGCATTGCTGCTTCACGGCAGAAATAGGCGGGGTGGTGGTACCTACCCGTGCGGACTCACAACAGGTCCTAACATCAGTATTTTATAGACGTCATGATCTGAACATGCATATATGTGTTTTTAAATCGCCAAATTAACATAGAGGATAGTACAGATTATGAAATTTGTCATAGAAAATAAAAAAAGCGAAAGTGAATTCGATCTACCTAAGTCCCTCTTGGTATACGTGTTAATTGACATCAGGTGGCCACGTACACTGATAAAAAAAATAAGAAAGATTTTTTTTTCCTAACATCCATCCTGAAAACTGCACTATTTTTTCATGAAAGATACGTGTATTTTAAAAACGAAATGTAAAGCGAATAGCTTTTTCACCTTTGTGTCGATTTCAAGAAAACACAAGACGTGACGAAACATTCGCTTCAGTTAATTTGAGTAGTCAGTCAAATCAGTTATGATTTTACATCCATATGTATACGCGGTATATCAAAGAGAAAACTTTTAATCGTTTTAAATATTTTATTCGGAAACCAAAGTCATCACCAGTGATTTCGTTGAGCTTGACGTTAACAGTGTTAATAAAATGCCACACATTTCAATCGTTCAGGTAAGAAAGTAAACAGTAAATTACCTGTTTTCCTGATTTTTTTTTTATTTTTTTTATTGCCCTTTATAAACAATATTTTAATACTTTCTCAATTTCAATAAATTTGATACTTGTAAATTTTTGGAACTGATCTGATCTACTACTGATTTGCGATTAAAGCAGAAGTTACATAAGTACGAACCGACACACGTGCGAGCGAGATTAGTACCGTGAACAGCTTTATTTTATTATCACACTTTATTACAATAATTTCATTGTAAAATTTTATGAAATATATTAATTTATGAATCCATTATTCGTGAGACAGGTGAGCCGGCTATTTGCATAAAACGATCATTATAATACAGCTACTGAGATATTCTGATTATAAATTTATAAAAAACTTCATGTTACTAATCAATCATCATGATTGATAGCGTATTAAATTTACAGAATAATGATAGGATGGACGTTTGTTTATTTTTGTAGTACATTTTATTATTATTATTTTTTTTATTGCACGTTTATACGGCCCACCTGATGGTGAGTGGTTATCGTCGCCCATAGACTTCAGCAATGCCAGGGGCAGAGCCAAGCCGCTGCCTACCGTTAAGTACTCTCCACAAGCCTCGTTTGAAGAAAATTTTGATTTGATTTAGATATCGAAGATTCATACATATATCATTTTAGTTTATTCCAAGTCCATCTTGGACCACGCACAGTGAAGTCTAGTTCTGTGAATCTAGAATAACCTCTCAAGGTACTAGAATAGGTAAAAAGCAAAATAAAAACCAGTGAAGAAGGGCGCCATACTTGATAATCGTTCACTATAAAAAAAAATTAATATATGTATAGTCAGTAACTGAATTAATTTTAATGCTAAGCTAAAATATTTATTAGTAGAGTTTACATCAATTTAATTAAAAGTAAATTGATATTTCATCAATGCAACTAAGACTAAAAACATAATCAGACTTGGTTTCATGTTGCCGCGACTGTGTTATAACTACGCGTCTTACTTATTTTAGGAAATATGAGGTTAGGATTCGGCGTAATTTGAAAATCAAAGGCCATAAATTACATGACTCTCGGCTCGCGTCCCGAAAGGAGACTTTGGTTTACACGAGTCTGTATTTGAGAAGTCAGGAACTGACTAGCTCGCACGGATTACGGTGGTAGATGGCTCGGCGCTGCAGGATTTATGGCGACATTGAGTGGAGCTAAGCCACCGGTGTACTACTGCTCGAAGACGTAAAAAGCCAATGCATTTTGCAATTTTGTAGTGTTACTTGGAGATAAAATTGGCGAGAGAAACACAGTAGATTTTGTACATCACTACATAGTATAAAACAAAGTCGCTTTCTCTGTCCCTATATCTGTCTGTCCCTATGTATGCTTAAATCTTTAAAACTACGCAACGGATTTTGATGCGGTTTTTTTTAATAGATAGAGTGATTGAAGAGGAAGGTTTATATGTGTAATAACATCCGTTAAATAGTGGGGAAATCAATAATTAGTTTCCGAAGCGAAGCGAGGGCGGGTCGCTAGTTTTGCATAATTTCTTTATCGTGTAAGGCTTGTTGTTGTTCAGAAAAAGTGGAAGTGGGCCGGCCATATATGCCGTCGCACTGACGATCGGGTGAGACACAAAAGTACTGGAGTGGAGACTTCGTACTGGAAGTCGTAACGTGGGCAGACAGG